AACATGCTGGCTGTAGACACTTCAAACGCCAAAAACAGGCGCTGAAAAAACGCCCCGCGTGTAGGAGGACCGGAAGGGGCCACATATGAATTCCTAATATTCGGGGTGACGTTGTATTCATCTCTGACTCCGCCTCCTTCTCACTTTACTCCTTTTTTTTTCCATTTGTTTCAATATTGATGTATTTTGCTCTCTAATTGTAAACATTTTTGTATGTTTCATTGTTTTTGTTTTTGTATCGAATAAAAAAGAACAGACAAAAGTTTTCCAAAAAAAGTCTTTATTTGATTGGTCGATACCTCTGCCATGCTTTGTACCAGAAAATGTCATCTTAGCGTCGTTACAAACGGGAGATTCGAATCTTTCTATCTACAGGAACGCTCGATCCTTCGGAGATAACGGCGGTCAAACGAAGGGGAAAAAAAAATCGCGTTGTTTTCAGGGGTTGTAGCGTCTTTTTTGAATCGATCGCGGTAAATATCTGGCCGATAGAAGGGGAAACGCCTCGCCTGCTCCGCCGCTGCACTTGGTGTTGAAGCCCTTCTGATAGAATGAAAGAAAAGAGAACAATGTATCGCCGCTACGAATAAAACCGCCGCCGCCGCCACCCGCAGAGAGGGAACCCGAGCGACAGAAAATGACTGTATATGCCGGATCCGTGTGATGTCCAAATACGAATGATGAATCCCAGCCGGCTCAAATGTTCCGCAATTGTCACGGAAAACATCGATCGTCGTGCGATTCCAGTCACAGTGCCCACCCGTTAGTGGCATCACCCCTCCCCCTCCAATTGGTAAGAAAGGTGAAATATCCGGGGGGCGGGGGGGGTTCCTAATTAAAGGTGGACACACATTGGGGATGGAATGGGACGCAGATCGATGTTTTCTGCGACAACTGTGGAACTTCGGATGTATTCGCTGTATTTGGAAATCGTCGGGATCCTTGCGATGTCGGCTTTTCCCTCCGGAGGACGAACGGCTCCATTCGCAGGCATGACGCAATGCACATGCGTTTCCGTGTGTCACGTGTAGAGCAGCTCGTTCATTTTCAATGGGCTGCCCTGTATGTGAGAAACGCGTGAAAGACGCTTTCACAAAAACCATGCCGCGCCGTGCGTTTTGGCGCACACATCAACACACGCGTTTCGCAAGCGCCCTTAGTCACGGTTCACACCGACGCGGTTTCCAGAAACGCACAGCAGTCCATTGAATATGATTTCCTATGGGGCGCGGTCACATCTCCGCTTTTTCACCCGCTGCGTTTTTTGGAAAGGGGCGGGGACTTTTACCCCGGGTTCACACCGATGCGGCCGTGCGGGCTGCGCTTTGCATGGACATGAGAGCCCCTTCATTTGTGACCCGCAAGGAAGAAGTCCCGGCACTTCTTCTGAAAACGCAGCCGAAGACCCCCCCCCCCCCCGTACAGTTGCGTTTTCCAGTGCAGGCGGCGTGCCGTTAGAAGTAATGTCACCCGCGGGTCCGCATTCCCCTGTGCGGGTGGTGCGGCTGCACGGATTTTCGTGGCGATCCGCAGCGGCACCACCCGCACAGATGTGAACCGGGGGTAAAAAGCAAAACGTTGCGTTTTTTTTGGTTTTATCGACTTCAGTGAAGACGTTGCAGAAAAGCATTCAGTGCATTTTTTCTGCATTTTTGATGCGTTTTGCTTTTTAATCTGCCTAGCAACAAGAAAAAAAAAAAAAACAACACAAAACGCAACAAAAACATGCAAAACGCAGAAACGGATCGAACGCGAACTGCATAGGTGTGAACCAAGCCTTGAGAATGAATGGCCCCGCCCCATGCCTGCTGAAGGGCCACGCATTTCTGTGCTTGTTGGGGAAGCGGGTGATTCTGCCTTGAGAATGAATGGCCCCGCCCCATGCCTGCTGAAGGGCCACGCATTTCTCTGCTTGTTGGGGAAGCGGGCGATTCTGCCTTGAGAATGAATGGCCCCGCCCCATGCCTGCTGAAGGGCCACGCATTTCTCTGCTTGTTGGGGAAGCAGGTGATTCTGCCTTGAGAATGAATGGCCCCGCCCCATGCCTGCTGAAGGGCCACGCATTTCTCTGCTTGTTGGGGAAGCAGGCGATTCTGCCTTGAGAATGAATGGCCCCGCCCCATGCCTGCTGAAGGGCCACGCATTTCTCTGCTTGTTGGGGAAGCAGGCGATTCTGCCTTGAGAATGAATGGCCCCGCCCCATGCCTGCTGAAGGGCCACGCATTTCTCTGCTTGTTGGGGAAGCGGGCGATTCTGCCTTGAGAATGAATGGCCCCGCCCCATGCCTGCTGAAGGGCCACGCATTTCTCTGCTTGTTGGGGAAGCGGGCGATTCTGCACAGAATGTGAAGGGATTCTTAAAGCGGTATTAAAGGTTTCATGTCAATACATAAAAGCTGACCATTGTAAGCACCCCGTTAGTGGTAAATGGTGTGACACATCCCTCTAACTGCTACATCTGCAAGAGAGCTTGCTGTGGTGAAAAACAACAGACTTACTGGCAAGATCACCAGATGAAAATAGAAGAAAACGAATGCAGCCGTCACATCTGAGAAGTGGCAGCTGCAATGCAACACATGTGTGCTGTTGGGTTTTTAATATACCACTTTAGGAGTAACTCCTGTCTGCGGGACACTTCTAGACTGACTACCACCATGAAGGGTCCCTACAATGTTTTCTGTTTGTATCTCCATTTCTGGTTCTTCTTATTTGTTTCATGAAAGGATTGCTCAAGTTTGGACCGGTGGGACGGGGGTAATGGGGGTGGGACAGGGTAATGGGGGTGGGACGGGAGTAATGGGGGTGGGACAGGGGTAATGGGGGTGGGATGGGGGTAATGGGGGTGGGACGGGAGTAATGGGGGTGGGACAGGGGTAATGGGGGTGGGATGGGGGTGGGACGGGAGTAATGGGGGTGGGACCGGGTAATGGGGGTGGGATGGGGTAATGGGGGTGGGACGGGAGTAATGAGGGTGGGACAGGGTAATGGGGGTGGGATGGGGGTGGGACGGGAGTAATGGGGGTGGGACAGGGGTAATGGGGGTGGGATGGGGGTAATGGGGGTGGGACGGGAGTAATGGGGGTGGGACAGGGTAATGGGGGTGGGATGGGGGTAATGGGGGTGGGGACAGGGTAATGGGGGTGGGACAGGGGTAATGGTGGTGGGACAGGGTAATGGGGGTGGGATGGGGGTAATGGGGGTGGGACGGGAGTAATGGGGGTGGGACGGGGTAATGGGGGTGGGACGGGGTAATGGGGTGGGACGGGAGTAATGGGGGTGGGACCGGGTAATGGGGGTGGGATGGGGTAATGGGGGTGGGACGGGAGTAATGAGGGTGGGACAGGGTAATGGGGGTGGGATGGGGGTAATGGGGGTGGGACGGGAGTAATGGGGGTGGGACAGGGGTAATGGGGGTGGGATGGGGGTAATGGGGGTGGGACGGGAGTAATGGGGGTGGGACAGGGTAATGGGGGTGGGATGGGGGTAATGGGGGTGGGACAGGGTAATGGGGGTGGGATGGGGGTGGGACAGGGGTAATGGGGGTGGGATGGGGGTAATGGGGGTGGGACGGGAGTAATGGGGGTGGGACAGGGGTAATGGGGGTGGGATGGGGTAATGGGGGTGGGACAGGGTAATGGGGTGGGATGGGGGTGGGACAGGGGTAATGGGGGTGGGACGGGAGTAATGGGGGTGGGACAGGGGTAATGGGGGTGGGACGGGAGTAATGGGGGTGGGACAGGGGTAATGGGGGTGGGACGGGAGTAATGGGGGTGGGACGGGGGTAATGGGGGTGGGACGGGGGTAATGGGGGTGGGATGGGGGTAATAGGGGTGGGACAGGTGTAATGGGGGTGGGAAGGGGTAATGGGGGTGGGATGGGGGTAATAGGGGTGGGACAGGTGTAATGGGGGTGGGAAGGGGTAATGGGGGTGGGATGGGGGTAAGAAGTGGGGGGGGGGAGGGGTTAAGCACACCCATCTGATGACATCATGTATGGTGGGCTGCAGACACAATCATTTTCAGGGGGTTTCCCTGGGAGCTAACAATGATTTCCAGGTAAAAGGTTGTATACTACATTGGGAATTATCTGTCGGGTAGGTGTCTCCCTCAGGTAGGTGCGCTAACTCAGGGAGGAGCTCTGATTCAGGTAGGTACCCTCACTCAGGTAGGAGATCTCACTCGGGTAGGTGTCTCCCTCAGGTAGGTGCTCTCACTCAGGTAGGTACCCTCACTCAGGTAGGAGATCTCACTCGGGTAGGTGTCTCCCTCAGGTAGGTGCTCTCTCTGCAGGTGGCGGTTTTATTGGCTCCATTGTTTTTCTGCCGGTTGCATAGCAAATAATCAACATTTTCAGGATGATATTGTTTAAAAAAAGAGTTTGTAGAAGAACAGCAAAGATCGATCGTCCTTCTGCGTCACGACCCGCGGAGGGCGCTGCGGTATGTAGGAGGAGAACGGCTGAAATGAATGTAAATGAGGGAAACTATTATCAGAGGGGCACAATGGACTCTTGTGTGGCTCCCAGAGAGAGGGAACGGGGCGTACCTGGAGGAGTTGGTCCCAGAGTCAGGACCCGGTACAATGGCTGGGAGGAGTCAGGACCCAGTACAATGGCTGGGAGGAGTCAGGACCCGGTACAATGGCTGGGAGGAGTCAGGACCCGGTACAATGGCCGGGAGGAGTCAGGACCCGGTACAATAACCTGGAGGAGTCGCCCCCCAAGTCAGGACCCGGTACAATGGCTGGGAGGAGTCAGGACCCGGTACAATGGCTGGGAGGAGTCAGGACCCGGTACAATGGCTGGGAGGAGTCGGCCCCCGAGTCAGGACCCGGTACAAAGGCTTGGAGGAGGAGTGCCCCTTTAAGTGCGGACTCCGCGGGGTGAATTGTGGGAATCGGGGAGCGCTGGCTGAGACGTTCAGTGACCAGCAGCTCCCGCCGTGTCCATGGGCACAGTACACACAATTCCGTCCTCTCCCCAGGTGGCGCAGTGGGCGGAGCTCTAGTCCGGGTATAGGATGAATCCGGAGAACGTGCTGTACTTGTTGTTGTTTCCTCCGTGCGCCTTCCCCCCGTCCAGCTTGACGTAAATCTCGTCCCCGGAGTCCAGGTGAAGCACCACGCTGTTGCTGGCGTAGTCGTAGTTCTGATCGGCGTCCTGAGCGATGGCGCTGGCCCGCACCTGCAGGGGGCGGAGAGACAAGGAAGAAGGTGAATGCTGATTGGACGATGCTGAACCCTGAGCATAAAACGACACAAATTTACTGAAATCCGTTATTTCCTGAGGAATAATTTATAGCCGCCGACATCAGATTAAATACACGAACCATTGTATGGGAGTGGAGGGCGGAGCTCGGTGTATGGGAGCGGAGGGCGAGCTCGGTGTATGGGAGCGGAGGGCGGAGCTCGGTGTGTATGGGAGCGGAGGGCGGAGCTCGGTGTATGGGAGCGGAGGGCGGAGCTCGGTGTATGGGAGCGGAGGGCGGAGCTCGGTGTATGGGAGCGGGGCGGAGCTCGGTGTATGGGAGTGGAGGGCGGAGCTCGGTGTATGGGAGCGGAGGGCGAGCTCGGTGTATGGGAGCGGAGGGCGGAGCTCGGTGTATGGGAGCGGAGGGCGGAGCTCGGTGTATGGGAGCGGAGGGCGGAGCTCGGTGTATGGGAGCGGAGGGCGGAGCTCGGTGTATGGGAGCGGAGGGCGGAGCTCGGTGTATGGGAGTGGAGGGCGGAGCTCGGTGTATGGGAGCGGAGGGCGAGCTCGGTGTATGGGAGCGGAGGGCGGAGCTCGGTGTATCGGAGCGGAGGGCGGGGCTCGGTGTATGGGAGCGGAGGGCGGGGCTCGGTGTATGGGAGCGGAGGGCGGGGCTCGGTGTATGGGAGCGGAGGGCGGAGCTCGGTGTATGGGAGCGGAGGGCGGAGCTCGGTGTATGGGAGCGGAGCTCGGTGTATGGGGAGCGGAGGGCGGAGCTCGGTGTATGGGAGCGGAGGGCGGGGCTCGGTGTATGGGAGCGGAGGGCGGGGCTCGGTGTATGGGAGCGGAGGGCGGGGCTCGGTGTATGGGAGCGGAGGGCGGGGCTCGGTGTATGGGAGCGGAGGGCGGAGCTCGGTGTATGGGAGCGGAGGGCGGAGCTCGGTGTATGGGAGCGGAGGGCGGAGCTCGGTGTATGGGAGCGGAGGGCGGAGCTCGGTGTATCGGAGCGGAGGGCGGGGCTCGGTGTATCGGAGCGGAGGGCGGGGCTCGGTGTATGGGAGCGGAGGGCGGGGCTCGGTGTATGGGAGCGGAGGGCGGGGCTCGGTGTATGGGAGTGGAGGGCGGGGCTCGGTGTATCGGAGTGGAGGGCGGAGCTCGGTGTATGGGAGTGGAGGGCGGGACTCGGTGTATCGGAGCGGAGGGCGGAGCTCGGTGTATGGGAGCGGAGGGCGGGGCTCGGTGTATGGGAGCGGAGGGCGGGGCTCGGTGTATGGGAGCGGAGGGCAGGGCTCGGTGTATGGGAGCGGAGGGCGGGGCTCGGTGTATGGGAGCGGAGGGCGGGGCTCGGTGTATGGGAGCGGAGGGCGGGGCTCGGTGTATGGGAGTGGAGGACGGAGCTCGGTGTATGGGAGCGGAGGGCGGAGCTCGGTGTATCGGAGCGGAGGGCGGGGCTCGGTGTATCGGAGCGGAGGGCGGGGCTCGGTGTATGGGAGCGGAGGGCGGGGCTCGGTGTATGGGAGCGGAGGGCGGGGCTCGGTGTATGGGAGTGGAGGGCGGGGCTCGGTGTATCGGAGTGGAGGGCGGAGCTCGGTGTATGGGAGTGGAGGGCGGGACTCGGTGTATCGGAGCGGAGGGCGGAGCTCGGTGTATGGGAGCGGAGGGCGGGGCTCGGTGTATGGGAGCGGAGGGCGGGGCTCGGTGTATGGGAGCGGAGGGCGGGGCTCGGTGTATGGGGAGCGGAGGGCGGGGCTCGGTGTATGGGAGTGGAGGGAGGGGCTCGGTGTATTGGAGTGGAGGACGGGGCTCGGTGTATGGGAGTGGAGGGCGGAGCTCGGTGTATGGGAGTGGAGGGCGGGGCTCGGTGTATGGGAGTGGAGGGCGGGGCTCGGTGTATGGGAGTGGAGGGCGGGGCTCGGTGTATGTGAGTGGAGGGCGGGGCTCGGTGTATGTGAGTGGAGGGCGGGGCTCAGTGTATGGTAGTGGAGGGCGGGGCTTGGTGTATGGGAGTGGAGGGCGGGGCTCGGTGTATTGGAGCGGAGGGCGGGGCTCGGTGTATCGGAGCGCAGGGTGGGGCTCGGTGTATAGGAGTGGAGGGCGGGGCTCGGAGGGCGGAGGGCAGGGCTCGGTGTATAGGCGGGCAGGGCTCGGTCTATCGGAGTGGAGGGCCCCCCTACACCGCTATTCACCCCTCACCCCCATACCAGATAATTACCCCTTACGGTTCCTTTATCTTTACCGAGATCCAACCGAGATCCGAGTGACTGAGATCCGACCGACCGAGATCCGAGTGACCAAGATCCGACCGAGATCCGAGTGACCGAGATCCGAGTGACCGAGATCCGACCGAGATCCAAGTGACCGAGATCCGAGTGACCAAGATCTAAGTGACCAAGATCCGACCGAGATCCAAGTGACCGAGATCCGAGTGACTGAGATCCGAGTGACTGAGATCCGACCGAGATCCGAGTGACCGAGATCCGAGTGACCGAGATCCGAATGACTGAGATCCAACCGAGATCCAAGTGACCGAGATCCGAGTGACTGAGATCCGACCGACCGAGATCCGAGTGACCGAGATCCAACCGAGATCCAAGTGACCGAGATCCGAGTGACCGAGATCCAACCGAGATCCAACCGAGATCCAAGTGACCGAGATCCGAGTGACCAAGATCCGACCAAGATCCAAGTGACCGAGATCCGACCGAGATCCAACCGAGATCCGAGTGACCGAGATCTGAGTGACCAAGATCCGACCGAGATCCAACCGAGATCCGAGTGACCGAGATCTGAGTGACTGAGATCCGACCGAGATCCAACCGAGATCCGAGTGACCGAGATCCGAGTGACCAGGATCCGACCAAGATCCAAGTGACCGAGATCCGAGTGATCAAGATCCGAGTGACCAAGATCCGACCGAGATCCGACCGAGATCCGAGTGACCAAGATCCGACCGAGATCCGACCGAGATCCGAGTGACCAAGATCCGACCGAGATTCAAGTGACCGAGATCCGAGTGACCAAGATCCGACCGAGATCCAACCGAGATCCGAGTGACCGAGATCCGAGTGACCGAGATCCGACCGAGATCCGAGTGACCAAGATCCGACCGAGATCCAAGTGACCGAGATCCGAGTGACCGAGATCCAAGTGACCGAGATCCGAGTGACCAAGATCCGACCGAGATCCAACAGAGATCCGAGTGACCGAGATCCAAGTGACCGAGATCCGAGTGACTGAGATCCGAGTGACTGAGATCCGACCGAGATCCGACCGAGATCCGAGTGACCGAGATCCGAATGACTGAGATCCAACCGAGATCCAAGTGACCGAGATCCGAGTGACTGAGATCCGACCGACCGAGATCCGAGTGACCGAGATCCAACCGAGATCCAAGTGACCGAGATCCAACCGAGATCCAAGTGACCGAGATCCAACCGAGATCCGAGTGACCGAGATCCAAGTGACCAAGATCCAAGTGACCGAGATCCGACCGAGATCCAACCGAGATCCGAGTGACCGAGATCCGAGTGACTGAGATCCGACTGCACCATTCACGACATCCTGGGAGATTGGGGGAGGTGGAGGAACTCAGAGATTGTCCACAGATCTGCTCCCCGACTGCCCCCCCCCCAGATATGCCCCTCCCATCTGACCCATTCCCTGACCCCTCCCCCCCAGAGGTGATCCGGATCTTACTACCTGCCCCCTGCAATCACCCAATCACGTGTCTTCCTTCATCTGTCACCCCCCCCCCCCAAATGTGTCCTATTACCCCCCCCCCCCCACCTCCAGCAACCCCCCGCTATTCACCCCTCATCCCTCTACCCCGCTATTCACCTCTCACCCCCCCCCACCCCGCTATTCACCCCTCACCCCCTACCCCGCTATTCACCTCTCACCCCCCCACCCCGCTATTCACCCCTCACCCCCCTACCCCGCTATTCACCTCTCAACCCGTACCCCGCTAATTACCCCTCACCCCCATACCCCATAATTACCCCTCACCCCCATACCCCGCTAATTACCCCTCACCCCCATACCCCATAATTACCCCTCACCCCCATAATTACCCCTTACGGTTCTTTTATCTTAGTACTTTTTGCCCCCAGCTCCCCCTTATCTGTTCTTTCACAGGGCTGCCCACTTGCTGGTTCCCCCTAGTGGCCCCCCTTGCCCCCTCACCTTGCAGTTGTCTGCCCACATGCTGGTCCCCTCTAGTTGCCCCCCCTCCCCATATTGCCAGGACAGTAGTTGCCCTCTCTTCCCTCTAGTTAACCCCCCTCCCCAGCAGTTGCTGCCCCCCCCCCCCATTATTGCACAGATCCGCCTATATGCTGGTCCTTCCTACTTGCCCCCCCTCCTGTTAGTTTCCCCTCACCTGCCCGTTCTTGCACAGATCTTCCCACATGCTGGTCCCCCTTGGTAGCCCCCTCCCCCACCAGTTGCCCCTCACCTGCCCTTTCAAGCAGAGGTCCAGTCACATGCTGGTCCACCCTTGTTGCCCCCCCTTCCCAGTTGCCCTCCCCCCAGTTGCCCCTCACATGTTCATTCTTGCAGAGGTCCACCCACATGCTGGTCCCCCCCAGCTGCCCCCCCTCCCACTCATAGTTGCCCCTATTGCCCCTCACCTGGCTGTTCTTGCACAGATCCACCCATATGCTGGTCCTTCCTAGTTGCCCCCCCTCCTGGTAGTTGCCCTTCATCTGCCCATTCTTGCACAGATTCAACCACATGCTGGTCTCCCCATAGTTGCCCCCCCCAGTTGCCTCTTACCTGACTGTTCTTACAGAGGTCCGCCCACATTCTGGCCCCCCCAGTTGCCCCTCACCTGGCTGTTCTTGCACAGGTCTGCCCACATACCGGTCAACCTACTTGACCCCCCCAGTTGTCCATTCTTTCAGAGGTCCATCCACATGCTGGTCCCCCCTAGTTTCCCCCCCCCCCCCTCTTCCCGGTTGCCCCTCACCTGCCCATTTTTGCACGGATCCGCCCTCATGCCCTGCCCATTTTTGCACGGATCCGCCCACATGCTAGTCCCCTGTAGTTGCCGCCCCCATATTTACCCTCCCCCCAGTCTCCCCCTCACCAGGCTGTTCTTGCACAGGTCCAGCCACATGCTGGTCCCCCTTAGTTGCCCCCCCCCATAGTTGCCCCTCATCTGTCTGTTCTTGCAGAGGTCCACCCACATGCTGGTCCCTTCTAGTTGCCCCCCCCGTAGCCCCTCACCTGGCAATTCTTGCAGAGGTCCGCCCACATGTTGGTCCCTTCTAGTTGCCCCCCTCCAGTTGCCCCTCACCTGGCCGTTCTTGCAGAGATCCGCCTACATGTTGGTCCCCTCTAGTTGCCCCCCCCAGTTGCCCCTCACCTAGCTCTTCTTGCAGAGGTCCGCCCCCATGCTGGTCCCCTCTAGTTGCCTCCCCAGTTGCCCCCTCACCTGTCCATTCTTGCAGAGGTCCGCTCACATGCTGGTCCCCCATAGTTGCCCCCCCCAATTGCCCCTCACCTGGCTATTCTTGCAGAGGTCCACCTACACGTTGGTCAACTCTAGTTGCCCCCCCCCGTAGCCCCTCACCTGGCCGTTCTTGCAGAGGTCCACCTACATGTTGGTCCCCTCTAGTTGCCCCTCACCTGACCATTCTTGCAGAGGTCCACCCCCCCCTCTATGTTGGTCCCCTCTAGTTGCCCCCCCCAAAGTTGCCCCTCACCTGGCCGTTCTTGCAGTGGTCCGCCCCCCCCCATGTTGGTCCCCGCTAGTTGCCCCCCCCCCAAAGTTGCCCCTCACCTGGCCGTTCTTGCAGAGGTCCGCCCCCATATTGGTCCCCTCTCTAGTTGCCCCCCCCCCCCCCGTTGCCCCTCACCTGGCTGTTCTTGCCGAGGTCCGCCCCCATGTTGGTCCCCGCTAGTTGCCCCCCCCCCCCCCAAGTTGCCCCTCACCTGGCCGTTCTTGCAGAGGTCCGCCTACATGTTGGTCCCCCATAGTTTTCCCCCCCCCCAGTTGCCCCTCACCCCTGGCCGTTCTTGCAGAGGTCCGCCCCCATGTTGGTCCCCTCTAGTTGCCCCCCCCCCAGTTGCCCCTCACCTGGCCGTTCTTGCAGAGGTTGCCCCCATCCCCCCTCACCATTGTTGCCCCTCATTCTTGCAGAGGTCCCCCCCATGTTGGTCCCCCATAGTTGCCCCCCCCCCATTTGCCCCTCACCTGGCCGTTCTTGCAGAGGTCCGCCCCCATGTTGGTCCCCTCTTGTTGCCCCCCCCCCCCTTGCAGTTGCCCCTCACCTGGCCGTTCTTGCAGAGGTCCGCCCCACATGTTGCCCCCCCCCAGTTGCCCCCACCTGGCCGTTTCTTGCAGAGGTCCCCCCCCCCATGTTGGTCCCCCATCCCCCCCCACCCCTCACCTGGCCGTTCTTGCAGAGGTCCGCCCCCATGTTGCCCCCCCCCAGTTGCCCCTCACCTGGCGTTCTTGCAGAGGTCCCCCCCCATGTTGGTCCCCCCCCCCCCCAGTTGCCCCTCACCTGGCCGTTCTTGCAGAGGTCCGCCCCCATAGTTGCCCCCCCCCAGTCCCCTCACCTGGCCGTTCTTGCAGAGGTCCCCCCCCATGTTGGTCCCCCCCCCCCCCCAGTTGCCCCTCACCTGGCCGTTCTTGCAGAGGTCCCCCCCCATGTTGGTCCCCCATAGTTGCCCCCCCCCAGTTGCCCCTCACCTGGCCGTTCTTGCAGAGGTCCCCCCCATGTTGGTCCCCCATTGTTGCCCCCCCCCCAGTTGCCCCTCACCTGGCCGTTCTTGCAGAGGTCCCCCCCCATGTTGGTCCCCCATAGTTGCCCCCCCCCCCCCAAGTTGCCCGTTCTTGCAGAGGTTGCCCCCCCCCCCACCTGTTGGTCCCCCATTGTTGTTGCCCCCCCCCAGTGTTGGTCCCCCCCCATAGTTGCCCCCCCCCCCCATTTGCCCCTCACCTGGCCGTTCTTGCAGAGGTCCGCCCCCATGTTGGTCCCCTCATAGTTGCCCCCCCCCTTGCAGTTGCCCCTCACCTGGCCGTTTGCAGAGGTCCGCCCCCATGCAGAGGCCCCTCACCTGGCCGTTTCCCCCCCCCCATGTTGGTCCCCATAGTTGCCCCCCCCAGTTGCCCCCACCTGGCCGTTCTTGCAGAGGTCCGCCCCCATGTTGGTCCCCCATAGTTGCCCCTGGCCGTTCTTGCAGAGGTCCCCCCCCATGTTGGTCCCCCATAGTTGCCCCCCCCATTTGCCCCTCACCTGGCCGTTCTTGCAGAGGTCCGCCCCCATGTTGGTCCCCCCCCCCCCAGTTGCCCCTCACCTGGCCGTTCTTGCAGAGGTCCGCCCCCATGTTGGTCCCCATAGTTTCCCCCCCCAGTTGCCCCTCACCTGGCCGTTCTTGCAGAGGTCCGCCCACATGTTGGTCCCCTCTTGTTGCCCCCCCCAGTTGCCCCTCACCTGGCCGTTCTTGCAGAGGTCCGGTGTTGGTCCCCTCTTGTTGCCCCCCCCAGTTGCCCCTCACCTGGCTGTTCTTGCAGTTCCGCCCACATGTTGTCCCCATAGTTGCCCCCCCCATTTGCCCCTCAACTGGCCGTTCTTGCAGAGGTCCCCCCCCATGTTGGTCCCCATAGTTGCCCCCCCCCAGTTGCCCCTCACCTGGCCGTTCTTGCAGAGGTCCCCCCCCATGTTGGTCCCCATAGTTGCCCCCCCCCCAGTTGCCCCTCACCTGGCCGTTCTTGCAGAGGTCCGCCCACATGCTGGTGCCGTCGCCCCCCCTCATCAGGATGTGGTAGGTGAAGTAGTAGATCCCGGGCACCTGACACGTGAATTTCCCGGTGGTCGGGTCGTAGTGGTTGCCCAGGTTGGTGACAACGTCGTCGAATTTCAGCAGTTCGTAGCCCTCATGGGGGCTCTTCAGGCCGACATAGAAGGCGATGCGGGGAGCCTGGAGGGGCACCGACCCCCCCACCCTGCCCGGCTCCCCCTTCTCTCCCGGGGGGCCCCTAGCTCCTGGAGGTCCCGGCTCTCCCGGGGGGCCCCGCACTCCCGGCTTCCCTGGCCGTCCCGGCTCCCCGCGGGGCCCCTGGATGAAGGGTGGAGGGGCCCCGCTCAGATCCTGCAGAGCCTCCCCGGCGGGGCTGGGGGGGTGCCCGGTGTAAGGGTCGCAGATCATCCGGCAGGTCCCCAACATCTCATAATGGCCCTCGGCTGGGGGGGGCAGGGCAAGCAGGGGGATGATGATGACCAGAACCAGCAGCATGGCCACCCCCAGGGCCACCAGCAACAGCCGCCGGCGGGGCACCAGGGTGAGAGCCGACCGGACACACCGACACAGCGATCTGATCTGTCCGCGGACCGGAGACAGACTGAGAGGCGGCGGGGAGGAGCGAGGGGGCGGGAGAGCGCGGAAAGGAGGAGCGAGGGGGCGGGAGAACGCGGAAAGGAGGAGCGAGGGGGCGGGACGGCCAGGTGAGGTACGCGCATTACCGCCGCCCCCCGCGTTCACACTCCCCCCATGCCCGAAAACTGCCACCCCCTATAATACCTCCCGACAATTGACACCCCATATACAATACAACCCAAACTGCCCCCCCCCCCCACAACTGCCCCCCCCCCCCCCCAAACCTCACTGTGACTACCACCCCCAACACTAACATGACCCCACAACTGCCCCCCCCCCCCATGCTCCACAACTGCCCTAGTGAAATACTTCCCCACAACTGTCACCCCCTTCTGACATTTGTCACCCCATATAAAGTACATCCCCACCCAGGGGCGGACTGACCATTCAAGCACTGGGGCACTGCCCGAGGGCCCGCGGTCAGTAGGGGGCCCCATGAAATGCCCCTGGTACCTTTTTATAGGATTTTTTTGGGTGTGCTTCGAGTTTGGGCAAGGACACAGGGGCCCCATGATCCCCTATTGCCCGGGGGCCCCATGAGTTGTCAATCCGCCCCTGTCCCCAACTGCCCCCCCCCCCCCAATATATCTCAGCATAACTACCACCCCCAATTCTAACATGACCACACCCTGCACTCACTCTGCTCACAACTGCCACTCCCTAATAGAATACCTCCCTACAACTGCCACCTCTATATAATACCAACCCCCCCCCACACACACACACACACAAACACACAATTGTCACTCCCTGTAAAATAGATCCCCGACTGCCCCCCCATGTAATACCTCAGCATTATTACCATCCCCATTATAATATTAACCCACAACTGCCACCTCCTGTGCTCCCCCCAACTGAACCCCCCTATAAGACCCCTCTACAACTGCCACCCCCCCCTATAATTCTTCCCCCAACTGAACCCCCCTATATTACTTCCCCCAACTGAACCCCCCTATAATACTTCCCCCAACTGAACCCCCCCTATAGTACCTCTCTACAACTGCCACCCCCCCCTATAATACCCCTCTACAACTGCCACCCCCCCCCCTATAATACCTCTCTACAACTGCCACCCCCCTATAATACCTATCTACAACTGCCACCCCCCTATAATACCTCTCTACAACTGCCACCCCCCTATAATACCTCTCTACAACTGCCACCCCCCTATAATACTTCCACCAACTGAACCCCCCTTATAATACCCCTCTACAACTGCCACCCCCCCCCTATAATACCTCTCTACAACTGCCACCCCTCTCTACAACTGCCACCCCCCCCTATAATACTTCCACCAACTGCCACCCCCTTATAATACCTCTCTACAACTACCACCCCCCCTATAATACCTCTCTACAACTGCCACCCCCCTATAATACCGCTCTACAACTGAACCCCCATATAATACTTCCCCCAACTGAACCCCCCTATAATACCTCTCTACAACTGCCACCCCCCTATAATACTTCCCCCAACTGAACCCCCTCTATAAAACCTCTCCACAATTGCAACTCCCCAGAATAATACCTTCCTGCAACTGCTCCCCGCTCCACCCCCACATAATTCCTCCCCACAACTGCCACTTCCCAGTATAATACCTTCCTTCAACTGCTCCCCACTCCACCTCCACCTCCACATAATACCTCCCACAACTGCCACCCCCCCCAGTATAATACCTTCCAGCAACTGCTCCCTGCTCTAATCCCACATACCTCCTTAAAACTGCCACTCCCCATTATAATACCTTCCTGCAACTTCTTCCTGCTCCACCCCAACATAATCCCTCCCCACAACTGCCACTCCCCAGTATGAAACCTTCCTGCAACTGCTCCCTGCTCCACCCCCCCATAATTCCTCCCCACAACTGCCACTCCCCAGTATAATACCTTCCTTCAACTGCTCCCCACTCCACCTCCACATAATCCCTCCCCACAACTGCCACTCCCCAGTGTAATACCTTCCCGCAACTGCTCCCCACTCCACCCCCCCATAATCCCTCCACACAACTGCCACTCTACAGTATTATACCTTCCTGCAACTGCTCCCCACTCCACCCCCACATAATATCTCCCCACAACTGCCACCCCCAAGTATAATACCTTCCTGCAACTGCTCCCCGCACCACCTCCACTAATCCCTTCCCACAATTGCCACTCCCCAGTATAATACCTTCCTTCAACTGCTCCCCGCTCTACCCCCACATAATCCCTCCCCACAACTGCCACCCCCCAGTATAATACCTTCCTGCAACTGCTCCCCACTTCTCCCCCCCACATATCTCCCCACAATTACCACTCCCCATTATAATACCTCCCACAACTGCCACTCCCCCAGTATAATAGCTTCCTTCACCTGCTCCCCGCTCCACTACCCCATAATCCCTCCCCACAACTGCCACTCCCCAGTATTATACCTTCCTGCAACTGCTCCCCGCACCACTTCCACGAATCCCTCCCCACAACTGCCACTCCCAAGTATAATACCTTCCTTCAACTGCTCCCCACAACTGCCACTCCCCAGTCTAATACCTTCCTGCAAATTCCTTCCGCTCCATCCCCACATAATCCCTCCCCACAACTGCCACTCCCCAGTATAATACCTTCTTTCAACTGCTCCCTGCTCCACCCCCCCCCATAATCCATCCCCACAACTGCCACTCCCCAATATAATACCTTTCTTCAACCCCCCCCCCCCCCTTTAATACCTCCCAAGAACTGCCTCCTCCCTGTAACACCTCCCCACCAGTAGAGTATTTATGTTTTGTGCTGCCCTAGGCAAGATGAAAAATCTTCCACCCCTAACGCCCGCCCACAGCCCCCGCCTACAGGCCCCGCCCTTTCCTGGGGGAGAAGGAGAGAGACTCACCATCACACACTTCCTGGAGTCCACTCTTCCCCCAGCCCCGGTGCCCCTCAGAACCTCCTCAGTGTGATCACCACACAGGACAACCAACCCCCACAGATACCGAGAATGACACCCGGCATCCGGGACAGGAGAAGTGGGACTGTGCAGAGTCCATACATACAGAACGGGGACAGATACCGAGAATGACACCCGGCATCCGGGACAGGAGAAGTGGGACTGTGCAGAGTCCATACATACAGAATAAGGACTGATACCGAGAATGACACCCGGCATCCGGGACAGGAGAAGTGGGACTGTGCAGAGTCCATACATACAGAATAAGGACTGATACCGAGAATGACACCCGGCATCTGGGACAGGAGAAGTGGGACTGTGCAGAGTCTATACATACAGAATGGGGACAGATACCGAGAATGACACCCGGCATCCAGGACAGGGAAGTGGGACTGTGCAGAGTCCATACATACAGAATAAGGACAGATACCGAGAATGACACCCGGCATCCGGGACAGGAGAAGTGGGACTGTGCGGAGTCCCTCCATACACCGGGAGTACCTGGCACACTGGATGGCGGAGGGTGGGAGACATTTCCTGTCCTGACAGCTGAGATGTGACTAATTATGGGGGGGGGGGTGCGGAGGGAATTCTCCTCTCATATAATTAATTGATGCCCCCCCCCCCCCCGGCTCTGGTTCTGGTGTGTTTGATGGCAGCGCTGACTGTGGCGCCCTCCGCAGGGAATTGGAGGATTCGTCTTTTTTCTGAGTTCTGAGAGCTCTTTGTGAAGATCGACTTTCATGTCTCATCGTCTTCTGCAGCTTAATTAAAACTTTGTGTGAGAATTAGGAAGGTCAGAGGGGGGAGAGAACCAATCCCGGCACAGTGCGCCCCCTGCTGGCCAGTGTGGAGTACCTCATCCTCCTCTGAGGGGGGCGCTGAGACGGGTGAAGAGAGGACACCACAGACCTCAGATCTCCGATCTGTAAATGTCCCCCCCCCTCCCCCCAACACAGAGAATGATCCCCACAAATGGATTCTTCCCCATCTTTTACAATATTCGCTTGGTTTGTTTTACCGTAAACCCCCCCCCCCCCCGCGCCTGCTCTGCTCCTCCTCTGCATCCCCCTGCGTCCCTTCTGCGCCCTCTCTGCATCCCCTCTACGCCCCCTCTGCATCCCCTCTGCACCCCCTCTGCGTCCCCTCTATGCCCACTCTACGCCCCCTCTGCGTCCCCTCTACGCCCCCTCTGCGTCTCCTCTGCATTCCCTCTGCACCCTCTCTGCGTCCCCTCTAAACCCCCTCTGCATCCCCTCTGCGCTCCCTCTACGCCCCCTCTGCATCCCCTCTACGCCCCCTCTGCATCCCCTCTACGCCCCCTCTGTGTCTCCTCTGCATTCCTTCTGCACCCACTCTGCGTCCCCTCTACACCTCCTCTGTGCCCCCTCTACGCCCCCTCTGCATCCCCTCTGCGCCCCCTCTATGCTCCCTCTGCATCCCCTCTGCGTCCCCTCTATGCCCACTCTGCGCTCCCTCTGCATCCCCTCTGCGCCCCCCTCTGCATCCCCTCTATGCCCACTCTGCGTTCCCTCTGCATCCCCTCTGCGCCCCCCTCTGCATCCCTTCTGCGTCCCATCTACGCCCCCTCTGCATCCCCTCTGCGCCCCCTCTGCGTCCCCTCTTCGCCCCCTCTGCGTCCCTTTTGTGCCCCCTCTTCGTCCCCTCTGTGCCCCCTCTGAGTCCCCTCTGCATCCCCTCTGGGCCCCCTACTTCGTCCCCTCTGTGCCCCCTCTTTGTCCCCTCTGTGCCCCCTCTTCGTCCCCCTCTGTGCCCCCTCTGAGTCCCCTCTGCGTCCCTTCTGTGCCCCCTCTTTGTCCCCCTCTGCACCCCCTCTATGCCCCTTCTGCGTCTCATCTGCATCCCCTCTGCGCCCCTGCTGCGTCCCCTCTGTGCCCCCTCTATGCCCCCTCTGCATCCCCTCTGCATCCCCTCTGTGCCCCCTTCTTCGCCCCCTCTGCGTCCCCTCTGTGCCCCCTTTGCTGTCCCCTCTTAGTCTCCTCTGCGTCCCCTCTGTGCCCCCTTCGCTGTCCCCTCTGAGTCCCCTCTGTGCCCCCTTCTTCATCCCTTCTTCATCCCCTCTGCGTCCCTTCTGCGCCACCTCTTTGTCCCCTCTGCACCACCTCTATGCCCCCTCTGCATCCCCTCTTCGTCCCCTCTGTGTCCCTTCTGTGCCCCCTCTTCGCCCCCTCTGAGTCCCTTCTGCACCCCCTCTGCATCCCTTCTGCGCCCCCTCTTCGTCCCCTCTGCACCCCTTCTGCATCCCCTCTGCACCCCCTCTGCGTCCCCTCTGTGCCCCCTTCTTCATCCCCTCTGCGTCCTCTCTTTGCCCCCTCTGAGTCCCCTCTGTGCCCCCCCCTTCGCCGTCCCCTCTGTGTCCCCTCTGTGCCCCCTTCTTCGTCCCCTCTGCGTCCCCTCTGTACCCCCTTCGCCATCCCCTCTGAGTCCCCTCTGCGTCCCCTCTGTACCCCCTTCGCTGTCCCCTCTGAGTCCCCTCTGCGTCCCCTCTGCACCCCCTTCGCCGTCCCCTCTGAATCCCCTGTGCGTCCCCTCTGTGCCCCCTCTGTGCCCCCTTCTTTGTTCCCTCTGCGTCCCCTTTGTACCCCCTTTGCCGTCCCCTCTGAGTCCCCTTTGTGTCCCCTCTGTGCCCCCTTCGCCGCCCCCTCTGTGCCCCCTCTGTGTCCCCTCTGTGCCCCCTATGGATTGGAGCAATCACAGCATATCTGCTACAGGACTGTGGATTCAGCGAATGACAGATGTCGATTCTTCCCGTCATTTCTTAATATTTAAATACTTTATTTTTTTGTGATTCATAGAAAAAAAACGTTACAAATCTAAAAAAAGAGAAAAAACCCCAAACTTTTGTTAGTTTAAACCCTCAACTACCGGGCACTTCCCACCCCACCCCCCGGCCATGTTTCATCTTCCAGCACTGTCGCAATTGCACGGTCATGCGACGCTGTACAATACAGATTTCTGCTTTTCATCACCACCGGGCTTTTATTTTTTGCACTTTAAACAAAAAAATGTGTTTTTCTTCGTTTCTCTTATAACATTTTGCAAATAAATAATCTTTCTACACAAATTTCGGCCAAAATGTATCCCACTCCATATCTTTGGTGAAAATCCCCCAAATCCGTGATTATTAATTCATTGGTAGGAAAGTTACACAGTTCACAAACTATGAGATCGATCTAAAAATCGATCAGTCCAGATGTACTGACGACCAATCTCATTTCTTGAGGCCCGAAAATGTCAGGATGGTACAAATACCCCCCCAGATGTCAGGACGGTACAAATCCCCCCCCCAAATGTCAGGACGGTACAAATCCCCCCAAATGTCAGGACGGTACAAATCCCCCCAAATGTCAGGATGGTACAAATCCCCCCAAATGTCAGGATGGTACAAATCCCCCCCCCAGATGTCAGGACGGTACAAATACCCCCCCAGATGTCAGGACGGTACAAATCCCCCCAGATGTCAGGACGGTACAAATCCCCCCCAAATGTCAGGACGGTACAAATCCCCCCCAAATGTCAGGATGGTACAAATACCCCCCCAGATGTCAGGACGGTACAAATCCCCCCCCAGATGTCAGGACGGTACAAATCCCCCCAAATGTCAGGACGGCACAAATCCCCCCAAATGTCAGGACGGTACATATCCCCCCCAAATGTCAGGACGGTACAAATCCCCCCCAAATGTCAGGACGGTACAAATCCCCCCAAATGTCAGGAGGGTACAAATCTCCCCCAAATGTCAGTACGGTACAAATCCCCCCCAAATGTCAGGACGGTACAAATCACCCCCAAATGTCAGGACGGTACAAGTCCCCCCCAAATGTCAGGAGGGTACAAATCCCCCCAAATGTCAGGACGGTACAAATCCCCCCCAAATGTCAGGACGGTACAAATCCCCCCAAATGTCAGGACGGTACAAATCCCCCTTAAATGCCAGGATGGTACAAATCACCCCCAAATGTCAGGACGGTACAAATCCCCCCAAATGTCAGGACGGTACAAATCCCCCCAAATGTCAGGACGGTACAAATCCCCCCCAAATGTCAGGACGGTACAAATCCCCCCCAAATGTCAGGACGGTACAAATCCCCCCAAATGTCAGGACGGTACAAATCCCCCCAAATGTCAGGACGGTACAAATCCCCCCCAAATGTCAGGACGGTACAAATCCCCCCAAATGTCAGGACGGTACAAATCCCCCCAAATGTCAGGACGGTACAAATCCCCCGAAATATGACCCCTTTTTGGAAAGCAGACAGTCTGAGGTATTTAGTGAGAGGCGTGGCCAGTTTTTTGAAGTTGTCATTTTTGTCATAATTTTGTGTAAAATGAAGAAACGGGGAAAGAAAATCTTCACAAAACTTTTTTTTTGTGCAGCGTCATCAGACAACTGGCATGGCGGAGATCAGGGACACGGACTGCTGACAGGATGGAAAAGCAAAAACATTCATCATTCTTCAAAGTTTTTACATTTTTTAACTTTTGTTTTTTTCTTTTACTATTTTTTTCTACTCCTGTGACCAGAGCAATACAGTGTTACCATAGCAACGTCGTACTACTCTGGACATGTGATGGCGATTTATTTGTTTTACATATTATGATTGCTATAAACAAGCATTTTTACTGAATGAATCTGATTGGTTCCGTAGTTTTTGTTGTGATCCACTGTGATTGGTCATAGCTGATCACATGATACAGATGGGCTGGGATTGGCCTGTACTTGTGATCACTGTGACCAATCACAGCTCGCAGCACAGTTGTAAGCAGTGAATGGCATGTAAGGAAGCCATTGTTTACAACAGTCATGTGATCTGCTGTGATTGGTTACGGTGATCACATGACACTAGCTGCGGCCTGGTGTAGTGATCTGTCATTGGCTGTGTCCTGGGAGGATGTCATGTGATCTCCTCCCAGGATAAGAGGGGTCCCACTCGTCATTGTAGAATAGGCCGGGAAGAAGTTCACAAATATTGTTACTATAAATGATACAAAAAATATGATTCTGCTACAAAGTTATTTACAAAGGAAGTTGGTTTTGGGGTTTTTTTTGCATGATTTACACTAAAACAAAAAATTAAGAAAAAAAATGGAAACCAAAAAACATTTATTTATTATTCGCTACAAAATCCATAAATACCACAAAAATAAAGTATCATTTATGGGGAGAAGGAGTTATTGAGGCTGATTGGGTTAGTTTGCTGTAACAGACATCATATACAGAGGAACAGAAACAATGTTACTTTGTATCTCTATCTCCCGTCTGATCGATGTTTATAATCAATGTTACTTTGTATCTCTCCATCCCCCGTCTGATCGATGTTTATAAACAATGTTACTTTGTATCTCTCCATCTCCCGTCTGATCGATGTTTATAAACAATGTTACTTTGTATCTCTCCATCTCCCGTCTAAACGATGTTTATAAACAATGTTACTTTGTATCTCT